TCCACGGCGATATATTCGTACTCGCGGACAGCGCATCTTTTCTGATGACCAGTGTGCAGAGCAGTGGATCGCACGCGGCACCGTATGTGACGGTCTAGCAGACGCTCATTCAACAGCCACTGCTGCTGGCGACGATGGCCGTATCGACGTTATCTGGACATGGATCAATGGCTCGGATCCGTTCTTGGGTGACCTCCGGACCGTCGCGTCCGCAGAAGATAGCGCAGAAATTGCACAACACAATGGAAAGGAGGAGGAGAACAAGGAGAAAGAGGAGGACAAGGAGAAGGAAGGGGAAGTGAAGCCGGTCGCTGGATCGTCCGAGCACCATTTCCGCGACCACGACGAGCTGAGGTTTTCGATGCGAAGCGTGTACCAGAACGTACCAACTAGTCTCATCCGCAAACTCTATCTTTTCACCTCCAGTCTACCTTACACTACTACCAACGACACTGTGGACGAGGACGGCCTTCGTCGCCAAGGCCGTATGGGACACGTACCCACTTGGCTGGACCTCACAAAGAACGCGCAGCCCCCCGTTGCACTTCTACACCATTGGGAAAACTTCCGGGTCACCGACAGCGTCCTTGAGTCGTTGGGCTTTCCCGCGGGTGACGAGGGTGCGAGGCAATGGCGAGACAAGTATCTCCCTACGTTCAACAGGTCAGAACCCCTTTCATTCTCGAATCTACAACCTACAATACTAATCCCATCACAGCCTAACCATCGAAAGTCAATTCCCCCACATTGAAGAATTCAAGGATACTCTTCTATATCTCAACGACGATTATTTCATCATGCGCCCACTCAACGCGGGCGACTTTGCCACATTCCTTTATGGCCCCGTTTTCCGTATACAGCGCTCGTGGCCCATAGGGCACATCACGACAGATGGTTGGTACAACTACAAGGCCGACATGGAGGGCGAGCAGGTGAGCTTTTTCACACGATGGTTGATACACACATCAATAACTTGTGACAGCCCACACTCGAACTCGCCAACTGGTATCTCAACGACCGCTTCGGTGGACGCCGACGCAGCTATATCAAGCACGTCGCCCGGTCGATGGATGTCACTGTCATGCGAGAGCTCAACACCGTTTGGCCCGACGTCCTCGCTACCACTGCCAGCTCCCGTTTTCGCGCCCATACGCCACAAGTACATCTCGCGTTCTTGCAAATGTACTACCAGATTGAGAAGCACCGTGAAGCGCTCCTGTACTCGTTCATCGTCCTGCGAGCCGACCAAGACCAGGACGGACGCATTACACCGAAGGAAGCTCAGGCGCTGCGGGACGACCTCACTGGTGTTAAGGATACGAAGCAGGGCTCTCTTTCAATTATGAACCCACATCGCAAGGATCAATACGTCGACAATCTCAAGAAGGCTGGCCTGGAGTCGCCTGCTGAGACGTCGTACATTTTTCCGAGCGGTAATGGCTACCCATTTGTACACAAGCACCCGGACGATGGTAGCGAGTGGCCGACTTTCACTGCGAAGGGACGGTCCTGCGTGATGCAGGCAGACGTTTGCTGGCCTGAAGGTTTTGGGCAGCGGGATATCAGCACCCAGGATTTGTTCAGGCAATGGATGTTCTTGGACCTTTCTTGTGGTGACTGTGCCATTGTTGCGCTTCTTGGTCAGAGCGGAGAGGCGGGCTTGGAAGCATTCCTGCCGCGCAAGCGGGACGACGATATCGCAGTGTCAATGGACGAGTACGATATTGTTGGCGGAAGCGTTGCCCACTGGTGGGAGGGTGTCTTTACCCCGACACGTGCGGTGCTGAAGAACCCTCGCGCGTATGCTGTCCGCAATATCCAGCGGTATTCCTATGTTATTGGTGCGCCTCAATACTTGGGTATTTGCCAATCATCTGCTAACTCTTGAGCCAGGTGACACTCCGATGGAATGGCTTCAAGTCAAGGACACCAGTGTGTCGTGGAAGCTCGACGAACTGAAGGACACCAATGGGCCGTGTGCCTTGCTTGCCATCAACGACGACGTTGCGGATGGCGCTGAGATGGAGCCGACCGATAGGTTGCTGAAGGAGTGGTACCGAGCGCGGTGGGAGAATGTCCGAGGTTGGTGGGAGCGGTCTTCGGGTGACGCAGAAAATCCCAATGGATTGTTTGACGGATGGTGGACGCGTCGTAAGACGAGGACATTGCACTAGTATAGCCTGCTTGTATCTTGTTAATCCCCTATGTATTTCTATAAAGCATCTACCATCGTTTTATTTATTGCAATATACACTTCCATCCCATGAAGCTAAAGTCTGAGCTGGTTTTCGACCTCTTAAATATTGTGATGGATGCATTGGTGCCGGTCGATCGACGCGCTTTCCGTCTGACCATCATGACAGGTTTGTCGTTGGCGCGTACTTCCAGTGTCCGGCGGGCTCTAAATTTCTGTTAGATGCATTTGTACAACAACCTCCGCTTGATAGCATCTCCCAAGTCCGATACTCTCCAACAAATCCTCATCAACTACTAGCCTCTGCTTGGGACGCGACCGTGCGTTTGTACGAAGGAACCGCCCAGAAGGCCAAGTTCGACCACCGGGCCGCTGTGTTGAGTTGCTGCTTTGGAGACGCAACAAATGCTTACAGTGGAGGGCTAGATTGCACTGTCCGACAGTATGTGGCTGTCAGATATGCTTGTCTGCGCTAACGTCTTCCAAGTCTAGGACTGGACACGGAAAAGACGACGAATATTGGCACACATGATGACTCGATCTCCAGTCTTGTCTGGTCCAAGGACAAAAGCTGGTGCCGTTCCTATTCCCTTCTGGATTTACGCTAATACTATGCTCAGACGCACTTATTACCGGCTCGTGGGACCAATCGATTCGTTTCTGGGATGCGCGCGCCCCAACTGCCCACCAACTCACCGAAAAAGTGCCCGAGCGCGTCTACTTCATGGACAATGTCAACAACACCCTCGTAGTCGCGATGGCCAGCCGTCTCATCCGGATATACGACGAACGCAACATGAGCAAGCCGCAATACGAACGCGAGAGCAGCCTTAAGTACCTCACGCGCTCGCTGGCGTGCATGGCAGATGGACAAGGCTACGCCATGGCCTCCACCGAAGGGCGCATCGCTGTCGAATATTTTGACCCCTCACCGGCGGTCCAGGAGAAGAAATATGCGTTCAAGTGCCACCGCCAAACCATCGAGGGTGTCGACCACGTTTGGCCCGTAAACGCACTCGCCTTCCACCCCATCCACAACACATTCTCCTCCGCCGGCTCAGATGGTCAAGTCTCCGTTTGGGACCACAAAGTCAAGAAACGCCTAAAGCAGTATCCAAAATATGAAAGCCCGGTTTCTTCGATGGCATTCAACTGTGATGGGACCTCGCTGGCAGTGGCGACGAGCTACACTTGGGACGAGGGAGAGGAGGGTGCGCGGAGGTCCAAGCCGCCGGCTATCGCGCTTAAACAGCTTGGGGACGAGATGAAGGTGCGTCGCCTTTGAACCGAAAACATTCGCTTTGCTAATGCCCCTTTTCAGCCAAGAGCATAACTACATATGTCCATATTGTACGGCTTCTCAATCATGACAGACGCGCTGGGTCCAGTCTTTTCATAAACAAAACGGTGTCGTTGCGATGATCCCAAAGTACTGAAAACTGTCAGCATCGGCATCCCACCGGGCGGGAAATAACTACCTCCATGTGTGCTGTGTTCACACCGCCGGTGTTCTTGCATGAGCATCGCGGGTCTTCCCCTTCCCCCGAGCACTTGACAGTATTCTCTTCGTCTTGCTGCCAGTATTCAACCCCATGGTGGTGGTAGCCAAACGAACGTGGAATGATTGTGCAGACGCTGTTCGCGACGGTTTGATTGGAAGACAAATACTAGGAGGAGGATGACGGCGTACCCATCCGAAGAATGTACAACTGCCACAACGTCAGCCTTTGGACAACTCGTATAACATGCAATGACTGACCGCGGCATGCATTCTCGCCAAAGGTTGCGTTGAAATAATCCGCGAATTCCTTGTTCTATCATGGCAGTGGTTGGTTGGGGAATACGAGCTTCGGATATTGGCTCACTCCCGTCCGTGGTGCTCCGTACGTGTAACACCTCATAGTATGCTCCGGGAAATTCTCCTTCAATGCGACGGTAGCCAAGCTTGCCAGAGAGCCACCCAGTGAATGGCCAGCTGCAACCAGCGAGTAACCCTTTATTTCGTAGATGTAGAACTGTTCTTTGAGGATGGCGAGTATCTGGAGGGCGACGGCATTCCATGCAATGAGGAAACCGCTGTGCACACACACGCCAGAGGGCAGGTGTGTGACGCCCGGGCTGATAAAAGGAACGAGCGCAACGGCCGTGTCCAAAAGAATGTCGACCACAGAGCCGCTGTGAGTGGAGTTCTCAGTCAGTACAGTGGACAATATCACCGCTCGAAAATATTGGACGGTACGACACCGATTCATCATTGAAGAATGAAAGGCTCACCTCCCCCGCATGGCCACAATGAGTTCCTTCTTCTCATCGTCGCGTGCGACGTACCCGTGAACGTCTGTGCCATCGCCGTTGAACTATGGGCGAGGAGAAATGAAGTCAATCAAGACTGACTTTGAAGGGGAGGAACGCCCCAGACCTCTGCGATGAGCATGCGGCCGTTTGGGCGGGGGCAGATCGGTGCATACGCAGACGACGCGTATTTGAAGTAGTGTATAAGCTCTTCGAGGCGTTCTGTGCGGGTCGCAAGGTAAGTCGTATTCTCGACACTAGTGCTATTCATGGGAAGTAGCGTCGACGACGCTCGAGATCGATGAAGGTCAATCCAACTCACCAGGCGGAATTTTGGGCGGATCGCCGGACATCTTGGGCGTAAGATGGGAAGACCTGCTTGTCCATCGGACCTAAAACTCCCAACGCAAAGCTGGTCTCGGGCAGTAGTAAATCGCGGTCACGCGACGCGCTTCTCAAATTCCACTCCCCACGCGAAGTTCGATGAGAGGGAGGCGTGCCGATCGTATCTCAATCCCTCTTAGCTCAGTGGTAGAGCGCGTCACTAGTAATGACGAGGTCAGTCGTTCAAGTCGGCTAGAGGGAACTACAAGACCGGTGTTTCCTTTTGCGCCTTGCATGGAGCAACTTTGATTTGCTGTCGTGGCCCGTTGTAACTTCACGCCGTGGACACTGAAGTACATACTGAACACTGGATGGTGAAACTGAGAGCTCAGAGTCAATGCCGACCTTCCAAGTCAGTTCTTAAACGCACAAAGTATATAATGGTCTACATATCTAATTCTACATTTATCACTCTGTCAGTGCCATTTTTGCCTAATGCCTGCTGTGTAGGCGCCCCGAGCCAGTGTCTATCGGTGTCGTAGCCCGGTTACAACATATTCAGAATTTAAGCATGCCAGCCCGCTCTGCAGTACCACCACGACTGCAACTATAACGTACTTATGGTGCTTGATAAGTTTACGCTGGTGACTACGTACTGGGTACTGTGAGGCATATCCCGCAAACATCTCACATAGACACACGTTGAGCTACTGTACTGAGCAAACTTGCCTCCGCGAGACCCAATGAAAGCCCCACTAAACACTTGCTCTGACGCATTGTCCGACTCGCATCAAGCAGAGCATCCACTTGAAAAACCGGAATCAGACTGCTATCATCCTACGCGACGCAGAACCCACACAGCACGGCGGAGCGGGGAAAATCCACAACGAAGAGACCCTCGTTGTACAATCAATATATAAAGTCTCTCCGTGAATAACTACAGCAGTGAAAAACCAGCAACAAGATAGAGAATGATGTACAAAGCTAGAGGAGGTAAAAATATTGAGGTATAAATCTACGAGCAAACAGCGTCGCTAGCCTATACGTTAGGTCTGAGCGCGCATGGCGCCCGGTTATCCATGATGAGTAACTATGCAACATTGAGTAGTTCGGTGAAAGACTGGCCCTCCAACATGTTCCAGTCATAATCTGGAGTCGGAGGTTGGGCTGGAGCGATTGGTGTGTGCGCCAATATGTCGAGGCAATCGTCCAAGTATTGAAAGAGCATCTGCTGCTCGTAGCTATTGGGCTGGGGTTGTTGCGCCGCGTACGGGTCATACGCCTCCGGAGAGGGTGCGCCATGGCCTTCGGGAGATGTTGCTTGGGCTTGATACGCGTCCTGCGGCGCCTGCAAGCACTCCTGAGATGTGTAGCCATAGTCAATCTGGGTGACAGTATCCATCGACATCGGAGAGATGGTGGGGTCTGGACCGGGAGAAAGCTCGTACGTTGTCGGGGGCGCGCAACAGTACGGGTCCGATGGCGGGAAGGAATATTCCTGGCCAGCGCACGACTGATAGGGATTTCCTTGTGGCAGCGTATACGACTGGAACATTTGTGGCTCCGCTGCCTGAAAGTGTTGTGGTGGAGGAGAGCGACGTTGGAGCGTCTGCAAAGGATAGCAATCTCGTGCGTAACCAGCCCATACTGCGTTACGACGATAGTCCGCCGGGGTGCCCTTGAAATACGCAATGGCTGGAGCGATAGATGAGATGTCCGGCGAGCGAATAGAAGAAAGCCGGGGCGGAGGCCAGGATAACGACTTGGCCGAGGCAGTCTGCGCGGTAAATACGAGGCTGGGCGGATATTCTTCTTCAGATTCTTCAAGTTCACGGATAACACCCTTGCCGTAGTCGGCGAAGAGATGTCCTACACGGTACTGGCATGCTTGCTTCCACATATTGGGATCGCGAATTTTCGGCGGACAAGGTGTAGGTGAAGGCGAGCGGTAGCTCGTGCATGATGACTCATCATCGTCCTCCTCGGCGTCCAGAAGCTCTTCCACAGTAAGCTCATGCCGGAGGGGGGATGATCCTCTCCGTGTCGACGTCTCCGGTGCGGGGTCTTCGGCGACAAACGACTCATCCGTTATCAAGGGTCGGTCACCATCGTCCAGTCGGGCGGGTGCCGCTGTTGAAGGAAAAGTTTCGGATACAAAGGTGAGTCTACAAGGGTGAGCACATAGGATGGGCCACCTGTGTATGGCACCTACTCTTCGAGCTTTCGCTTAGAACTAGAGGCTACAGGTGCTGGCTCCAATGACGACACAGTCGTCGGGCCGGCGGGAGGGGCGGGCAAGACATCATCGCCACGATGTGTGGGCTCGGAAGTACTCTTAATGTGTTTGCATTCGCGGTTGTCTTCAATGAATTCAGCTCTGCGCTTCACCATGTTGAGAAGGGTGATGAGGGAAAGAAGCAAAAGCGTGACGCCGCTGGCAAGCGTGAACAAACAGGATCGGGCCAAACACGACGTGTGCAGCCAAACATCGGAGAATTTCGGACATGTGCCCGGCCCGGATACCGATGACGCAATACTCGGCAGAACACCCGTTCCCTCTCTCCAGCCCTGCGCACTCGCGTTCGAGTCCTCCTGGCAACCTGCTGTCCCCGCTGCTGCTTTTATTTAATCTCGGCAGCATCTGGCGGACTGAAATATTGGATCCGTAAAACGTCCAGCCGAATGCTCCGACGCTCTGCTTTTGCGCCATGGCCGTGGTCTTCTTCCCGTTCAGCTGCACAATTGCCCGCTTCTCCAACGCCAGTTGGCAATGGAAGTCGCGAAACACGCGAATTATGCGTGACTAGCGTATTCAGTCGGTAAACGGAAAGATAACTCGGCAGTTGTGCACTCGTTGTGCCAGTGCTTCGGTGCTATCTTGTCAGTGTACATACTTAACATGAACTTGCCGCAATGTGCATCGGCTGTGGGAATTTCGTACTTTTACTTGCTATCTTCAAAACATGCTGACTGACTTCGTCGCTCACCTCTGCCCATCACTATGTCTTCATCCCAGCAGGAACTCTTCCCCATACATGTCGAGGACATCGCAGTTTTATGGGTCCCTCGCACCTCCTCAGAGGCGGAATCCTGGCAAACATCCGCAATGCTTCTGTCCCAGTCGATTAAGCGTTCATGGAAAGAAATCGTCGAGGGCGTCCTCACACCAGGGTACGATGAAGACCACGGAAATATGCACACCGCTCTTGTAAGTTGAACTGCAATCCTGCAGCAACGTCGCTCACGGCTTGTAGATCCATTTTCTGGACATGCTCGAGGATTTTCAGAAACGTTCCATTCAGCTCTGGATTGACGACTCCTTCCACGATGCAGCGTACAAAGTCGCGGCGAGGTCATCGGACGTGAATCTCCTGCGTCGCATTCAGCAAATCCCCAAATTGTCCCAAATACCACAGTTCGACGGACGCACCATCACATCCTCGCCTCCTCTTGGACAAGTGAGCCCGCAGTCGTCACCGTCAGCAGCCTCCAGCAGCTCCAGAGTAAGATTAGGTCAGAGATGAGCACAGGCCATATAACATCGCACTCACATTGGTCTATTAGACGAATGGCAACCCTCCGACGGCTCAGATCCCGTCTCCGTTCAGCGCCAGACCTTGGGCAGTGGTTGGATACATTATGACCAACAAGTCCGCTTCAGGCCATGGGAGGTGCGGATGCGTATTCCTAACGCAAAGTGTTTGTCGTGCTCTCGACGAGAGGACTGCGTTGACCGTCCCGTCGATTGCTTCTTCCGACTCGGCCAGGAGCTTTGGAAGAAGCCATCCTATGCCTGCGAGCCTTGTCGCTCAAGACGCTCGCGATGCAGCCTTGATGCGCATGTGAGGCAGGAAGGCTTAGAGAATTGCGCTGTGGCGTGGGTTTTCGCGAGTGCCAATACTGCGCCGCCCAGAGAAGGTGAAGAGGAACGTTTTGTTTGGGTTGAACGCACGGCGGAAGAGGTGAAAGAAATTAGTAGGATGTTCCCAGGTATGCCATTCGTGATATCATCTGCGGCACTGACTAGTGTGCAGGGACGTATTATACGGGGGAGCAGGCACTTGGCCGCAAACGCGTTCACGATCAAGAGCCTGACTGCGGCTCTGGGTATGGCGAACGATGGAAAATCGACAAAGAACGCACGGAAAACGCAACAAGCGCGCGACAATGACGAGGGAACCACCTCGAATTCCGAAATTTCTTCATCGCCCGGCATAATTGGGGTAGTTCTTACGTGCAGTTGGTGAGTTCCATATATATTGTGTAGGTCTGGTTATCCGATACACATATACACAACTTCTGTCTAACATCTTCTCTTTTGACTCCACTTGTTACGCAAACTTTTGTGCGGGTCACATCGAGGCGCCTCGAAATGAGAGGACCATTCGTCCTACTGTTGAAACGTTGGCCATATGAGTCTCGTTGGAAACTTGACCAACCATTCTGCCTTTCATGTAGTGAATGACCCAGCAATTCTGCTTGTACGTGGATGAGGCGATAATCGTTCTAACAAACGACTTCTTCCTTCCAACCGTGAGAGCTTTCTGAACTTCGCACATTAGTGCTTCTCTACCTCGTTCTGCACTCTAGTGCGATACATGTTAGGCGGATTACGCTCCCGATTAATGCAAGATAACGGGGGCATAACGTCTTTCGCTACCTCTAGAAACGCGCTTGCACTGATCTACGAAACAATAGCTCAACCGAAATACAAAATCCAATTTGACGCGGCCTCTCACCAAGTACTACATGCTGCAATGTGCAGCCAAAATCCAGTTAGCACAAGAGAGCAAGGACTTCTGATACAATAATGTGATGTATAGATCTACTCAAATAAGCTTTATCGGTAGATCCCTTCGTATGGCGTCTCCTTTTGCATCGATGTGATATGCTACTAATACAATTGTTTAGTCCTCGGAACATTCGAACAACTCACAACAGTTAAGCGGGATGAGCCTAGTAGATGGCGCAAGGGGGATGTTCAGCCGAGGTGGTCAGTGGACATGAGAAGAAAGAGAGCCGAGAGCCAGATCAAATGCATAGGTCTGCCTTCAGTACCGCTCGTACTGAGCAGCCAGAACTTCTTGCACATGCACGAAGGCATCCTGACATGCGGTGAGGCTTGGAAGTGCAATCAGAAAGATAAAGAGCTGTGTAAAAGGCTGCTCATGGGTTGAAGATCGTTCCAGCCTAGGGATGTGATGGACAACGATGATGACTACAGTGACAATGCCGAAGGGGAAGCGGGTCAATAGCATTGCT